TATTCAAAATGCATAAAATATCCTTGGATAGATTTTATAGTCGGATTTATAATCTCTCTAAAATTGTTTCACAGTAACAAAAAAATGTTAAGCGTATAATTATTAAGGTTTGTGTATCGATGTACGATCAGGGAAGCAACAAGTGTATGCAAAGTAAAAATTTTCAAAGAAATACATGAATATGCAAGTTTCAAGTTATACGACGTCATAAAAGGACTTTGAGAGATAAAAAGATAGTCTTAATCAAACACCTACACCATTTTCCACATATACGCGATTCGCGAGTTCGCGAAATGAAAGAAAACACGAGTTATTTTAAACTTAAAAGCACGAACACTCGAAGCAAACAGCCTCGCTGTTCCTGTTCAACAATTAGAAAATCGTCTGTGATATTCATAAATTATAAAGACAGAAACCTGAAGGATTGGTTTCCTTCGGTAGGATCATTTGCATATCTTTTTCGAGGCAATCGCGTAAAATCGTTTCGTCTCCACTTGAAAGCAAAATTTCCCTTTCCTCTCAAGCTGCACGCCCGCACCATCGCACGAAAACGAACAAGCCAGTTATAAGATCGATAAAACGGCTACAATGAAACGTCTCCATTCAACAGTCATCGTAAACAAGGCGTCGCGACGCGCGTGCACAAAAGCACTTCTAAATTATCATAACGACGTTGCAATCTCAATCAACGGAGATACAGATTGTCAACACCGCGCGGATCGATTGTTCTCTTATCTCGACGCAACAAAATGAGTTTCACGCGATGGAAATATGTGATACCTTTTGCATCTCTGTGTAACGACAATAAAAAGGAGAGACAAAGTGTGGATGAAAATGAAACGAGATAAAGATGAAATCGAACTCACTCTCTCTCTCTTTCTTTTTCTAACCACTATCGTGAGGTTACCTTAGTTGAAGACCTTTAAATGACATTTTTGCAGCCGGTCGTGCAAGAGATGCAGATTTCTCCTACCTCTGACGAATGAATTCGGATTTCGTTCGGTCAATTGGTTTTCTAAAAGCTACGCTACGGGGCGAGAGAGACAAGAAAAGAAAAGGGAGAAAGAGAGAGAGAGAGAGAGAGA